GAACCGGGGGCACAGCCGACAGTACACCGACAGTTCCGACTGACCCAACCCGAACTGGACGAACTGAGGAAGCAGCTGGATTACCTGCTCGAGAAAGAGTTAATTCGCCCGAGTTCGTCACCCTTCGCAGCACCGATACTGTTCACGCCGAAGAAGGACGGGGGTTTTCGCATGTGCATAGACTACAGAGGACTGAATAGGGTTACCATTAAATCCCGTTACCCCATCCCGCGAGCCGACGAACTGAGCGACCAACTGCGCATAGCCCGGGTTTTCTCGAAAATCGACCTTAGGGGAGGTTACCACCAGATTCACGTCAACCCACCCGACTGCCCCAAGACAGCTTTCCGAACATGCTACGGATCCTTCGAATACACAGTCATGCCCTTCGGACTAACCAACGCCCCCGCCACTTTTCAAATGACCATGAACGAAGCTTTCCGCCCACTTTTAGATAAGTGCGTCATCGTGTAGCTTGACGACATCCTGATTTATAGCCCCGACAGAACACAGCACTTACAGGACATCGAAGCAGTTTTTAAAATACTGAGTGAGAACCTCCTACTGATCAAAGCTTCTAAGTGTGAGTTTTTACAGGATCGACTGGAGTTTTTGGGACACATTATTTCAGCTGAAGGAGTGGAAATAGACCCGAAGAAGATGCGACGATTCAAGCATGGCACGCGCCGACAAACTTGACTGAGTTGCAGAGTTTTCTGGGGTTCGTCAACTACGTGCGACGGTTCGTCCCCGACATGGCGAAGTTGACTGCCCCGTTGACCGACCTGTTGAGGAAGGGGGTTGAGTACACGTGGGGGGAGAAAGAGCAAGCTGCCTTCTCGGCCTTCAAAACCATTTTGTGCTCGCCGCCCGTGCTTCACATCGCAGATCCGCACCGTTCGTTAGAGCTCGTCACCGACGCTAGTGACATCGCTGTGGGAGTAGTACTGTTGCAGGACTTCGGGAACGTCCTCCAGCCAATCGCGTACGAGTCCCGCAAGCTTCACCCGCCCGAACGCAACTACCCGATACACGACCGCGAGATGCTGGCAATCGTGCACGCGTTCAAGGTGTGGCGATGTTACCTCACTGGAGCAGACGTGACAGTACGGACAGACCACCGATCACTACAGTATCTTCGCGCCCAACCGAATCTCAACCCACGACAGATCCGCTGGTTGGACTATCTGGAGTCCAACTTCCACTATTCGGTCATGTACAAAAAAGGCGCATCCAACATCGCCGATGCACTCACACGCCCCACCGCCCAATTCCACGCCATCCTACTCGCCCAAACCAACCCACTGCTAACAGGCCTATTTGTCAGATTATAATGCTTGTCTAGCCTGCAGTGGGGTACTCTGTAGTGAGTACGGCCCCTTAGGGTTTCCTATTTGTATCCCAACTGTTGCTAGTCAAACCTCTCCTTTGTTCATTTCTCTCTTGCCTAGCTTGCTAAACCCTAGCTATGGCTCCTCACTGTGCTTACTCTTCTGACACTATTCATCCACGGATACAGTACTGACCCACTATTCACGACTGGAAATTCACAGCAACTGGCAGAAGCCAAGGAAGTCTATTACGTAAAAACAGGCACCAACCGCATCTGGGTACCCGCGTACTCACTACTGAGGGAACTGTTACTGCAGGAGGCACACGACGGGATTACCTCGGGACATTTTGGGGTAATAAAAGCGCGACAGCAACTGCAGCGGTATTACTACTGGCCGGAGCTGTTGACCGACGTATAGCACCACGTGGGCTCGTGTCCTACGTGTCAGGTGATGAAGAGCCCGCGAAAAAGAAAGGCGGGTCAGCTGCAGCCGATTCCACCGCCTGAGCGCGTCTGGCAGCAGGTTACCATGGATTTCGTCACAGGGTTACCTTCGAACCCTGGGGGTAACGACGCATTTATGGTCGTCGTTGACGGATTGACGAAGATGGCACACTTCGCTGCGTGCAAGAAATCGATCTCAGCCGAAGAAACCACTCGCCTGTTCATCGCAGCCGTCGTCCGACTGCACGGGATACCAGCTGCGATACTCAGCAATCGCGACACAAAGTTCACAGGCAGCTTCCGAAAGAACCTCTGGGAGCAGTTCGGGACCAGGCTACAGTTCAGCTCATCGTACCACCCCGAGACCGACGGTCAAACGGAGCGGACGAATCAGACGATGGAGCAGTTGATTTGTGCCACGTGCGACGATCCGACAACTTGGGAGCAGCAACTGCCGCTCATCGAGTTCGCGTACAACAACGCCATGTCAGCGACAACGCAGCAGTCCACGTTCTACCTGAACTACGGGAAAAATCCTATTGTGCCCATGACGCCGAGTCCGGACAACCCAACGCCACGCGCACAACAATTCGCGGAAATTCTGCAAGCTGCCCGCACCAGAGCCGCTGAAGCAATTAAAAAGGCAAATATCATCGCTAAGCGCAACGCTGACCGTCACTGCCGCCCAATCACGTACCAGTCAGGAGACTACGTACTGCTCGACACACAAAATTTAAGACTGCCCGTCGTACCAAAATTGCGACCGCGTTACTATGGACCATTCCAAATCAGCCTCATGATTACCCCAGTGACAGCATATTTACTGTTGCCGACAGACTGGTACATCAGCCCTTCATTCCACGTCAGCCTGCTTCGCCCATACATCCCAACCACAATCCAACTGCCTCGTCACCGCCTGCCATCCATGACTCGCCCTGCATCGGAGCCGATCATCGAGCCCGAAAAAATCATAAGCCATCGGATTCGACACCCCACGGGAATCAGGAGGATTGAATTCCTCGTTCGCTGGAAGGACCGCACGCCAACTGAGGATAGCTGGGTGCCCCTGGCCAACATCAAAAACCACCCTGCCCTGCAAGTGCACCTTAGGAGCCGGGGTTTCCGCGACATACACGCACTCGCGTAGCTGAGGGGGCTTCTTGGAGGGGGGGGTAGCGTAAGGAATTTTCTCGACATTCCTTAGCACGCCCTACAACATCGCGTACAGCATCAGCCGTTGTTCGCCCGTTACTACTAACGGGGCTTCGCCGACTTCGCGCGCACTGTTTCACCAAACCTCGCACTGCTGGCCCGGCCGTGTCGTCCTACGCTTCGGGACTAGACCGAGCCTCGCTGCCAGCGTAGCACTAGCTAGCTCGCACGCACCGCGTTACCGTTTGCATGTTTCGCGTATAAATGTTCGCTCATGCCTTCGCTCACATTTTGTACTCGTTTGACACCTTAGGGCGTATCCAACTTCCGGTCATCAGCACTGTTCATTCAACTGTTTGGGGCATCCGCAAATCACGGATGCCTCGAACTCAACACCGGAACCGCGCGCGGCTCGAACTTCGGGTCATCCTGCAACCTGCATGCGACCGTCACGCCCAATGTGACCCCCACCAATCAGACACAAGTGCGACCCCATGTTGGGTCCCCCTCTTTTGACGGACGTCCTTCAGCATTCACGCCCGGCAATTTCACCAACACCATCACTGCGTATAGCACAATTCTGTAAAAGCCACTTGACCATGAACACCGATACAAGCCAAATGTGCAAAGCCAGTTGAAAATACGGCCCGACAGCCATATCTACAAGCACAAGCTTGACCATAGCTAGCCGCCTTGCAACCAGCGCGACTCCCAACGCGCCCCGCATTATGCACGCCCGTCAACCAGCTCCCGTTGATAGGATGAGCTGCCACTTTACGCCTCCTGGGAGTCCTTAAACCATGCTCACAGGTCAGGTCCTCATACTTTGTGTGGCCTTGCACCTGTGGCATGAGGTGCTTCTTAACACCTGGCAGCGTGTAGTCTCTCTTGCGGCTCTAGAGTGGATAACCACCATCCTACCCATGGCTGAGGCTGAAGATGCCGAATGCCTCCGCCGTGCAACCGAGCGCCGGGAGAAACGGAAACGACGTCGCGAGGCTCGTGTGGCGGAATGGGTGGAGGAGATCCGCGCAATGTTCGACGAAGAGTTTGAAGATACCTTCCGTATTACCCGCGAAGTCTTCGACCTCATCGCCGAGCGAATGGCCTACCCCATGTCGCGTTTTGTGGAAGTGAATGAGGTTCCCTTGTCACTGTGCTGTCTTATTCCCATCAAGTACTTTGCCAGCGCCATGACGTTCCACGACTTGGGCCTCTTGTTTGGATTGCCCAAAGGACTCATCCACCGTATCGTCAATGCCTTCTTGGTATGGTTTCCCCGCAAGTTCAAGTGTGACTGGGTGCAGTTTCCTACGGAGGGCGTGAGGGAGGAGATGGCGCTTGACTTCCGTGCTATCAAGGGAGTTCCCAACGTGATTGGGGCGATTGACGGGACCCACATTGAGCTACGTGGCATGGAGGCTCACCGTGGTGACTACTACAACCGGAAGCAGGTTTACAGTGTGCAACTTCAAGTGACATGCGATTCTAAGGGAGTCATCTGGGATTACAACGTGGGTAATCCTGGTTCAATGCATGATCAAGGCGTTTTCTCAACATCTGATTTGCATGGCAGGCTAGAGAGTGGGGAAATCGCCCCCTATCAGCTTGTAGGAGATGCGGCATACCCACTGAAGCCTTACATGCTCACCCCCCTTCACGCCCCACGCCGTCGCCTGATGAAGAAATGGGAGCAGACATACAACTACGTGCAGTCTACTACCCGCATGGTCGTCGAGCGCACCATCGGCGCGTTGAAGGGACGCTGGCGGCTCTTCGCGCGCAGGAACGAGAGCAAGCTCTGGCGTGTATGCGCTGGGACGGCCTGCATCATCATCCTGCACAACATGTTGCAGGTCGTTAGCACGCCGCGCATGAAAACGCACAATCCGCGCCGCTTTATCTGGGCCGGGCTCCCTAACGGCTGGTGGACAAGAAGCGGCATGGACAAGTACGAGTGGCAGAGCCTCGACAACCCTTCGCTGGCCGATCTGCGCGCGCGCAGGCATCACTTCGGCAAGCACATCCATCGCGCTTACCTCAGGCGTCACCGTGTGCGGACGTCGGCGCGCTAAGGCTCCGCATGCTCCTCAACATCCTCGGACCCCGCCATGTTCTCGTCGCCCGCAACTTCCGGATGGGCTGGAGTCGGGGTATTCGACGGTGCCGCGTTTGGCGCTGGCGGGCTGGCTATCTGCAGTCGAAAGCCAGCCTGGAGCGCCGCCATGTTCATGGCGGCGACAAGGAGCTGGGTGGAGTCTTGCAGCTGTCGCACCACCGTCGCATTGGTGGAGTTGATGGCCTCGCTCACCATCTTTGCGACCGCCATGGTGGCAGTCTCCTCAATCCGCCGTCGTTTAGGGGGTGGAGTCACCCCGGCATCTGTAGGGGAGGGTGTAGGGGGGGGTGTATGTCAATAAGGCGGATACGGTTGTTGTTTTGTCCGAGACTTTATGGATATTTGAAACATCTACCTGTTGGTCATGCTCACACGTCTAACGATTGACCACAATCGCTGGAAGGGTGATATCAGCGGCAAACACAAAGCTGGACCTGAAGCAATGCTCACACTTACGAGTGGGGAGTACACACCTGGTGTGGTCGCCTGACGGCGGTTAGAGCGCCCACGGCCCTCCGATAGAGGCGCGGAAGTTTCCCGGTCGGAGCAGCCGGGCACCGGGGCGTACGCTTGGACGTTGACGTTCGCCGCGCCTCCACCGTCGAGGGTGTGCGCCTTGGCCTTCGCCGAGTGCTTTTTTAGGTGGTAGACGTATTCCCACCACGGTTTTTTCTTTATTGCTCTCCCTCCGCTCTGTCCCTCCCCCCGCTTCATTTTCATGTACTTCTTCTCGAGGCGTTTCCAGGCGTTGGACATCTGTCCCTCATCGCGGTCCCAATTTTTGTCCTTCTCAAGCATGTGGGCGCGGAGCTTCCTCCAGTACTGGCTCCCCTGCTTGCCCTGCATAGCCTTCAGGCCGTCTTTAGTGTTCCAACGAGCGGCCGCCAGGGACGTCAACTCGGCGTCCGACCACACGCACTTGTTGCGGGACGCAGGAGCCCGCTGCTCCTTCTTCGACGGGCGTGTGCTGCGCTCATCACCGCTTCCGTCTTCGCCTCCATCAGTATCTTCCTCGTCCTCTTCACTGCCGCGTTTGTAATCGGCTGAGTCGGCATCGCTATCCGACTCCGAGACGATCTCCTCGAGATCGTCATCGGAGACGTCAGTATCGGCGCCTGTGTCGGGATAGTCATGCCGAGAACTTCGGCTAGTGCTGGCGCCCGCAGTTTCGCGTACGGCCTTAGCCATACGCTTGATAGATGGGGACGTCTTCCCCTGCTTTTGCTGCTCTTTCATCCATGCGACGTAGGGTGGGTCAGCCTGGGCCTCATCATCGCTAACCTTCTCCTTTCCCTTGCCGCGTGAGCTTCGTCGCGGAGGCATGGGGGTACTCTGGGGTGGCTCACGTACGGAGATAGCGGGGTGGTGTGCTGGCTTTTCTCAAAGATAGATCTAGATCTACTTCATCCTCATTTTCTGTTTCTGCCGTTTTGTGAAACCCTTGGGTGAGGCTGTGTGGTTGGGATGGGTTTCGGAGGCGCGCAGATCCAAATGTTCTTTTTACCGCCGTGAATTTTGACGGGTGGGGTGATGGGGTGTTTGTCGCGCAACCGTGTGAAAGGGATCGCATGGCTTGAAGGCGGGCGGGCCTATTTGTTGAAGCAACATTTGGCGATGCCTTTTTTGGCGGGACAACAAACGCGCCTTTTTTAGGGTCGCACGATGTTCGATGGCCCAAAGTGGTGTTTTGTGTAGTTTGGGGCATCCGCACATTGCGGATGCCTGGAACAGTGCTGATGACCCGAACCTGGATACGCCCTTAGTGCAATCCTCGCTACCTAGATTCATTGCACCCATAACAATATGACACAGACCTTCACCATCCCACTTTCTTCCTTAATTCTGAAGTGGCCCAGTTAGTAGAATGGGCACTTATGAGGGCGCGTACCCCTCCGTCGATTGGTCGTGCAAAATGGATGAAGATCGGGTCCTCTACCGCACTAAAATCCATCGTTTCCAACCGAGGAAAAAAACGACCTTGAGCAGGATCGATATAGGAGGGGACGCGCCCTGACCGCGTGTCCAGTGCGTACATTTTCAATTATGGTAGTTCGTTCTGTGCGATTATTTTTGTTGCGTCACGGTGCAAAAAGGTGAAGACTTATAACCGCTTTGAAACTCTGGATACCGTCTCAGACCACGACGGATGAACTGTATAGTACCTGTAAACAAACGCGATGGACCCGCCCTGAGGTTCCGAATCCAGGTTCAAACCCGAGTGCCGGCGAGGTCTGCCAGCCCTCCAGAAGGGGTTTTCGCCTAAAACCGAAGTGCGATCTACAGACTCCTTTTGCCCCTGGATGGAAGTTTTTCGAATTGGAGCGTATTTGGCCCCTGATTTACAGCCTCCTTGTGCCGACTGAAACCGAAGCGCGCGCGGTTCGGCAGGGTCGCCGCCTTCACACCGCCTCACCAACCCACCCTTCCTCCCTCCGCTTGGGCAGGCTATGCAAGACCTCCAGAAACCTAACCGAACACTACATGGTTTGCGCTGGTTGGTCAACTGAAGGCGGGCTGGTTAGTAGTTATTTCTGGGATTTATTTCTGCCTGGCCCTTGGCTCAATTCTGCTTGGGCAGTGGTTAGGCCCATGATATCTTATCACTAAGCACGCTCGAGCTTCCACTGCTACAGCCCAGCACGCACAGACTACTTTCTCGAGCCGCAACACATGAGCAAGCATGCACTTAGTAAGGATGAAGGGAGGTTCGCGGTCGACAATTCGTCCTGATACCTGGTAGGCAGAATATTCTGTGAGCAACAGGTTTCCAGCCGCATAGAAACTTTCAATAGGAAAAATACTGCGTTGACGAGCTATAACACCTCGCTACCCACTGGATCAAAACGAGGGTGTTATTTGGCGCAGCGGAGTGCCCTTAACACAGCCCACAGGCGTTACACTCGTCCCCCCCTGGTGCCAACGTCCCCGTTGGCCTCGGACTTCAGGGAGTCGGCCCCCTGCCGCTGGGACCTAGATTTCACAGTGCTGCTGGCTGCGACTTCGCTGGTTGCTCAGGCCAGCGGAGGATCGTTCGCTGGGTTCGAGCTGGTTACAACCGCACTTCAGTTCTCGCCAAAGGCGGAAAGTGTGGTCCAGCCGGGATTCGAACCCTAGGCTCTGATACCAATGTAATACCCAGGGCTATTATAATGGCGGTTACAAGGCTTTTATAATATTCCGATACAAAATAGTAGCTTTAACTAGCCTTAATAGCCTTGGAGATGAAGATCTTCTTGATGCCTTTGATGAAAAGCACTTGGAGTAGTAGTGTAGGGAGACTTGTGAGAGAGCCCAAAAGGACTTAGAGAAACAATCCCATTTCCAATTGTTTTGTTGGAGTGGGAGGTTGAGAATGAGCTTGCTTAGCTCAGACCCCCTCAATACACCCCTTGGGGAACTATCCCAACCATGGTTTCCATGGTGGGATGGTTCCTAGGCTTGGAGCCTATGTGGCAATTGTGTTGGGTTGGAAAACCCAACTTAGAACCATTCAATGGTTGTGTTTAGGATAGAGTAGATTGTAACACTTGTTTGGCAGTTTCTGATTGGTTGGAATTCCAACCTTCAACATTCTCTTGGTTGAGTTGGAAATGTTCCAAACCTCCAAAGTTGAGGCTTGGCAAACCCAAACCAAGTTTCATCCCAACCAACTCAACCATCTTCTCCAACTCTTCCTTTGTCGAGAGAAGTTCTCAACAATTGACTTAGAGAGAGATCGATGGTTGTTAGCTCGGTAGTTAGGGTAATACGTTACACGAGCAGTCTCTCAAGGTTTCATAGTGCCAGCTGCTAGCACGATCATGACGAGGAGAACGTTGCTCTGCGGATACCTCCATATTCTCCTAGCGTTAACCGTCCTTGCCGCGTATGCGGCAAGAGCACCGTTGGAAGTGACAGCACGCGGCACGGGAAGCAGGCGTCCCCCACCCCCTTACTTACAGCCCTCCATTGAAGTCTTAGGGACTTGCACGAATCCAGGTGACGAGTACTGCTGGAAATCATGCGCTGTGCGAATTATTTGTTCTCGCTACTGTTCTTGTTGTTGGAAGAGCCATCGATTAACCTGCATCGAGTTCAAAATTGCTTGGTGGCTCGTAGGATCCCATGCGGTCCGTCAATGGTTCAGGCTCCAAGCTGTGGGCAGTCGCCGAGTCGCCTCACTACTTCCTCTGTCATGCTTATTCGCAGGTGCGATCAATTTGACAATTTCGCCGATTTTCATCGGGACCACGTGGCGAGGGTGGGGAACGTCGCTCGCCTGGTTCGGCGGCTTGCCGAAGCAGCAGCTGAACGCTCTTCTCGACCTGATCTTCGATCCCACAAAAGGACTCGGACTGAACATCGTACGATACAAAATCGGAGGGGGGCATAATAAGAAATTCAGCCCGCAATTCTACACGAGTCAGGATGCGTATTGGAGGGGCATGCCGGGTTTCAAGCCGACTAAGGACGGGCCGTACAATTGGGGCGCGGACGTCCGGCAGCGGAATGTGCTGCTGGGAGCGAAGGCGAGAGTAGCGAATGTCTTCGAGGCGTTTTCAAACAGCCCTCCGTGGTGGATGACGTATACAGGCGACGTGGCGGGCTCGCATGTGATAAAGCGGACGAATCTGCGACGTGAGTACGAGGTTTCTTTCGCACACTACCTGACGACCGTCGTTGCAGAGTTTGCGAGAAGATGGGGGGTAACATTTGATTCGCTAGAGCCATTTAACGAAGCGTTGGAAGGTTTCTGGCTGGCGGGAATGGATCACGAAGGCTGCTCCTTTAAGGCACCCGAAATGAGCCGTGTCATAAAATACGTTTCAGACTCGCTTATATGGAAGGGGCTCAAAACGAAGCTGGTTGGCGTGGATAGCTGGTACGGAGATACAGCGAACCTTCCGCAACTGCTCAACCACGAGCTATTAACGAGGATTAACGCTCACTCATACGTGCAGAGGTACGAAGACGGGAGCGTAACTCCGTCTTACGAACAAAAATTTGGCAGTATTCGCGACGCTGGAAAGGCGCTTGGTAAGGAGGTCTGGGTCAGCGAAGCGGGACCGTTGAGCAAAAATGGAAGCTTCTGGGACCTCTCGCTCTACATGGCGCGAAATGTAATCGAGAGCGTCAATATCATGGAGGCTTCTGCGTACGCCATCTGGCAGGCGTACGATTTCTACGATCACTGGTCGTTCATTCTCTTTCCGATGTATACTCCGCCATACAACGGCCGAATGGAAATGCCCAAGGTGAACAAGCGGTTCTGGCTCTTCAAGCACTTCACGCTGCTTGCTAAGCCTGGGTCCAAGCCGATTAGGATAGATTCGAGCTGTCAGCATGGGATACGTGCGTTCTACAATCCACAGGTCGCGCAACTTACGGTGTTCATAGTGAATCAGGAGGCTGCGGACCGACGAGTGACGCTTTATTTGGGCAGATTCAAGACTAATGTGAGAGGGAGCACCAGCGTGGTTGTTAGGAGAACAACTGCGTTCACAAATTTCAGCAAGAAGGTGTTCCAAGGGGTTCAAGGGGATAGCTCGGGTGACAATGTGGGGACAGACCTTCGTTTCTGTGACATTCACCAATGTGGCACATTAGCTGTGGTTATTGTTTGCCGAGTGTTGGTGTGGAATCCAATTCAGGACTAATGTGTATTTGTTTACTAGTGGCTGCGTTCTGCGGGCGCATTAGGGCGCGTGTCCTTGAGGTCGAACTTTAGCCAAAGTTCGAACTTCTAGAAAGGTTCTACACGGTAGGATACATTTGCGAGGCATGCCGCCAAGGTACAAAGCGGTATTAGGCTCGAACTTTGACAATCTACACCAAAAGACACGCGCCCTTAGCCCGCATCAATATACATTGCAATTTGTTTCATATTTACCAGGAGCCTTCCTTGATAACCAGCCGAAAGGTTATCAAGGCTCGCGATAAGCGCTTTGCTGTCGAGGCAGACCAAGCCCGAATGCCTGCATAACGGTCTTTTTGGCAATCACAAATTTACATGCTGCCGCTTTCCGAGAAATTTATCATCCTAGCAATCTGACGAGCCCTTGATGCGCGCATGATGCAACGCCGAGAAGACGCATGATGCGCGCATGAGCTCGAATGGGGCAACTGAACAACGCCCTAAAAAAAAAGGGCCGCGTCATTGATGGCCCACTGCTGCCCAACGAACGAAGCAAAACAAACCCAAAGAACGGTTTCCAAATAGATGCAAAGGGGTTTCGATCTCAAGGGGTGTTCTAGTTTCCCCTTCAGATTTTTAGGCAGCTACCCGGCTCGTGTGTGGGCAGCGTCGGGCAGTCTGTACATGCATGTGGCGAATGCGTCAGGTA